ATTTTGACCCAAATTTGGAGGAGTTGTTTAGTATCAATTTCATTAAATTACATTTAATAATCAAAATTAATATAACTAATTGTTAACAATATAATGGCTGTGAAATTAGGAAGGCATTGATTATATAAAGTGAGAGTTAGGTTAAGACGATATTTTTATGGGGTTATAAAATTTTAAGTTTTATTTAAAAAGTTGATTTATACTGCGGGGGCGTTGTGGCCGAACGGGCTAACGTGTCTGCCCAGCAACGCGCGTTGTCTGGAAACCTTATAACTTATGTTTGGAGAAAAAATTACGAGTTCACGTCGCTGTGCCTGAGGGTCTTTTAAATTCCCCACCTTCATTCTCCGATCCGGAAAAACGGAGGGTTTTAATAGCCTTAAAAGGCGAGGTAGGTGAGAACAAGGAAACAAAATAATAAATTTATACTGTATTGATTGAGCGACTCCTAACGTTACTGATATGAAACTTACTGCCACTACTTAGATTTCGTGTAATTTTCAGTAAATTAATTTTTACTCTGAGTTTGTAAAAAAAAGTCTTATTGGTGATTATGTTTATTTTTATTGAAGTTCGACCAGCTGTTCCTGGTCTCGATTTTCTCCTTAAATGTCAAAGTTATATTTTTGTAATTTAATAACTCCTTAAATATTTTCATATTCCAGCTTAATTAGTTTTGTTCTGATTGAAGAAAAGTATTGGTTCCGTTTACTCCTTACAAACAAGAAGGTGCATTTTTCCTATGGATCTTTTGTTTCATCTATTTTACTTGAATTACCTAGTAAGTATATATCAATACTATTAGTGGAAAAGATCGTATATATGTTGAAGGATTATTGAATTTCAGAAAATGGCTACTCCTAAATATTTTATTCTCATACTACAAATTTTATACATTGTAATATAGACTATATTAGCCAATGAAAACGGCGAGGAAGTTATTCTGACTTTACTTGCTAGACTTTTTTTTTTTTAACCAACCCTTTTCTTTGAGAAAGAGTTTCTTAGTACTCATTATTTTTTGAAATATAAATTAAATAACCTTAAGAAACTGTAATGGTTAAGAGCATTGTTTAAAATAAATAGGAACTTAATAACAAAACTTTTATTAATCAAGCTAAACAATAAAGCTTCGGCATTATAGGGCCCTTTTAAGAAGGATGGCCTCGCCTGAAAAGGAGGTTAAAGCTTTTATCCTTAAAAGTTTAAAATAAAATATAATTCAACCATTTTCGGCGTTTCATCGCAAAGTTAACTAATATTCCTTTTCTTCTTACCTGTAAAGTAAAAATATATAAAATCCCAAACACCTCCGTGCACAAACCTTGAAACCCTTCCTAACAAAGTACTGAACCAGAATCTTGTAGGGGTACAGTGTTTATACTCACACACACACACACACACACACACACACACACACACACACACACACACATATATATGTACACACACACACACACATATATATATATATATATATATATATATATATATATATATATTTTAGAAGGCACTAGAGACAGTTCTAAAACAAACAGCTAAGGAAGTAATAGTGATTCAGAAAAAAGAAAAGCCAAGAAATTGTTCACAGAAGCATGCGAAAAGGCAATGAAGGAACGAAGAAAAGTCCTCTCCTTAAGACAAACTGATCCAGCTATGCTGGACAAATATACAGCCCCCAGGAAAAAGACCAACAAAATAATAAAAACAGCCAAAAGAGAATTCCTGAAAGAAATATTAGGTTAAAGGAAAACTGACAGGCTGGAAATATATGCGAATTCTTCGCAGATATCAGGAAAGAAAGGGTAGGATATACAGCGAGAAATTCACGAATGCGTGGGAAAGATGGCAAATTGACGAAATCAAAAGAAAATATCCTAAGCAGCTGCTTAATCAAGAGCACCCCACAAACGAAGAATACGTGGACCACACTGAGGACATCGGCAGGCTTAAAAGAAGAAAGGCTATAGGAATTGACAACCTACCATCAGAATCGTTCAAAGAGAGGGGAGAAGACCTCAGAGCCAAGCTGTTAGATCTAATCCAGAAGATATGGGTGAAGGAACGGATACCATAAGCATGGAGCACAGGGTTGATCTGTCCTATCCTTAAGAAGGACTCCATGTATGAATGTGGCAATTACATAAAAAAATGACCAATATTATGCTAAATTGGATATATCCGTATTATGAAAACATAATAGGCGATCATCAAACAGGATTCAGGAGAGGGAGGAGTACGCTAGATCAGATATTCACCCTAAAACAAGTACTTGAAAAACGATGGGAAGTAGATCAGGACGTACTCGTATTATTTGTCGACTTCAAATTAGCCTATGTCTCCGTGGAAAGAAACTGTCTCTGGAAGATCATGACTGAGCTGGGTGTTCCCAGGAAGTTAGTGAGGCTGACGAAGGCGTGTACAAATGATCCTAAATGTAGGGTACTAATACAAGCAGACGTATCTGAAGCCTTCAAAGTTCGAACGGGTTTGAGACAGGACTCTCGCCGATGCTGTTCAACTCAGCACTAGAGAAAGTAATAAGAACATCACGCGAAGATGGAGAGGAGCACGTCGGAATGAAACACAAAATCCTAGCATATGCCGATGATATAGCTGTCCTCGGAAGTAATCAAGGGAATATTGAGAGACTCGCTCGGACTCTATTAAAAGAAGCAGAGCAAATCGGACTGCAAGTCAATGTAGATAAAACAAAATACATGATAGTTAGTCGAAGCATCTACCTGATAACATGATCTGCATGGACTCAAAAGTCATTCCCGAAAGTAGAAAGATTCAAATACCTCGGCTCCACAGAGATAGACCAGCGAATAACAAATGCTGGATAAAAGATATTGCTGAGCTTCATGCTGCAAACTGGAAAGCAGTAGCCCATAAAATATACATTTTCTTAAAATACACCACAACAATTTTTATATTGCTTTTGTGATTTTTTAAACATTTTTTTATCTTTTTACATTGCGTTGAAGATATGAAATCACATATCTATGAAGGAATAGTTTATATTTACTAGAACGGGATGTTTTGCGACGTGAAATTTGATCATTAAACGTAAAACTGACAAAAATGAAAATACGGCCATATTATTTGTATTTCTGTTGGCAAAAAAAAAAATCGTAAAAACATCATTTTATTTTTTTCATAAAATACAGAACAAAGATTTTTACATTGTTTTTGTGAGCCACTTTCATGTAAATCAACCAACGGATGTCAACTATCACTAACGTCAATTATTGTAGATGCCTTAAAATATTAGAAATTATTCAAATACCGACAAATAATCAATACTCCGTACATGCAGAAGATACATACAGCTAAAGCCCCAACTGAGAGACCTTTTCCATATTTAAAGAGGAAATGTCCAGCTCGTGGCTCTATGCTAATAGAGCGGCCAAAGTAAATGTTTGCACAGCCCTGAGCGGGACTTGATTTCCAACACTTAGAGGATTTAAGGTCATGTTTCTATTAGTATCATCTGCATAAGCTTCATAATTTTTGCTTACTAAACTTATGGTAATAATAATGGAGTGTTTATTTTTCAATTCATTCACAGTACATTAATACAGAGGAGCTACATCAACTTGTAGCTTAAGTAGATTTTATAGACGATTATTAAATAAGAGGTTAATGGAAGAGTTTAATTATATTATAATGCAGGATTTTGGTTTAAAAATAAAAAAGAAAGATTTATATCTGTTTTATTTAATCAAAATAGTCTCCACTATTATCAACACATTTCTGCCAGTCAACGTGTTGGCAACTTTTCCATTCCCTCGGAATAGAGTTTCCCTTCTTTAGAATTGATAATCTCCAAAAACGCATTTTCAAATTCCTTTGGTCCATTAAAATTTTTGGCAAGTAAGTAGTGGTCCAGGTGTAAAAAAAAAAAATATAATCTGTAGGAGAGGGATCCGGAGAGTAGGGCGGATGTGGCATAGTTTCATATCGCAGCTTGAACAGTTTTACGACGTCACACGTGAGACATGTGGCCGGGCGTTGTCATACAACAAAATAGGTTCCTTCCGATTGACCAAAGATTCAACAACAACAACTCCGATTTCTGAGGTATTGCATTAATTTGGTTACAATACGATTTGGCATAGATGGTTTCTGCAGGATTTAAGAAGCTGTAGTATTTCAAATCAAATGAAAACACCAAACAGTAACCGTCACCTTTTGTTTATGAGTTGGTGCCTTTAGAAAGTGTTCGATTGTCGATTAGCTAAGGTCAAGTTTTCCTGCATCGAACAAGTTCTCGAACAATTGTTTTAGGGTTTTCTTCCGCCAAAGCCCGCAGAACATCGTCATCAAGACAGGAAGTCCTTCCACGACCTCCTTTGTCCTTGAATTTTTTTGAACCACCGTTTAACAGTGAAATCATTAATGCTGCTCTTGCACTGTACTTAATTGATGTTTCTAGCCGTCTGGGCTCCATTCCAGCCGAGTTTAAACTCGTAAAACAAAATTATACGAAAATCACAAGTCTTAGTAAATACTGAATTATATCTAAGCATATATATATATATATACAGCTCATAGACTCGAGTTATGTAGTTTACAAAAACAGATGGAGTAACGAGGTTTCTATTGCTTACGGTTGATATAATTTGTAAGGTTTTTGTTATTTTAATGGTCTTACTGATTTGTTGGTTTAAGTTTTCGCCCCGTTAAAAATGCACTTGAAAAATTTTATACTAGCCCAACATATCAGAAAATAATCTCTATTCAAAGTAGAGCGGTAAATAAAAGTTTTGTGCTGCGCGCATCAGATTTTTTGAATTGTTTTAAAATGGCCAAAGAAACTTTCGCAGGCCGAATTGGAGATGCTTGCGGGCCCTAGTTTGGAGAACTCTGATCTATCTCATTATTTTATTTATTTACTACATATTTTAAATCTAATAATTTTTTATTACTTTACCCTTTCTCATTTATTGTGCTTAATTTATAGCGTGAAAAACAATAAAATATGTTTGTTACAGAGAACAGGAACCACATGAGCGAAAATCTGCCTGCTATGTACGGCCCCAACGCAGGTTCTCTGTTTATGAAGACCCCTTTAGGTCCACCATCGTACTCCGGTAAATACGGCATTTTTATTTTATTGTAAGGCTTATTTTATTCTGGAGCTGATTAAGCGGTAAGCGGAACTAGCGGCCGCGAAAGGTCTTTCGATTGGAATTATCTTAAATTTCCAAAGCCACTGCAAATGTTAAAAAAAAAATGCAAATGAAAAAATATATAAATGCCTCTTACACTAAAATTGCCCTCTAAGTTGCATTCTTTAACTATCATTCTGCGTATCCTTAAGGGTTTTTTGTTCTTTTTTTTTTTTTGAGACACCCACTTGTCGTCATCCACCTCTGAGTTTAATCTTACTTAATTTCCATAATTACCTAGGACTCCACCTGGACAAACGTTTAACTTGGAATCCATATACCAGACTGAAACGACAAGAAACAGCTCGATGTTTCCGACTACTTCAACAGTTTCTAGACAAATGCCCTAACCTTCTAATTAATTACAAAAGACTCATTTGCATGAGTATAATAAGGCCTATTTGGACTTATAGAGTTGAGCTATGGGGCTCCACCAAACCTTCAAATTCCTCTCGTATCCGAATCCTTACAATCCCAAATCCTTCGTAAAATCCTCAATGCTCCTTACTTTGTTACAAATAAAATCATCCACAATGACCTGAATGTTCCCCATGTATCAGATTTGGCCCGATCCAGATATCTATCCTTCCATAATAAACTTCATAACCATCCCAACCCTCTTGTTTCTAACCTTACTTCCTATTCAATTCCTGATAACCCTCCGAGGCGTCTTAAAAGAAGATGGCTAATATAGACATATTATTAGAGTGTTACCAATGGGTGGTTCCTCAACATGTGTTTCATGTCATTATATCCATGTACCGAATTTACTAGATGTATTTTTTTTTTATACAGTTGTAAATATCATATAGAAAAAAAAAATTCATAATTATGATTCATTCGACCGATGCTTATTTAAAAATGAATTTTATCCAAATCATATTTTAACGATGTCAAAGTTTATAAAATTATAAAAGATAAACTTAATCCTAACTTAGTTTCAAAAAATATTTTTTGGACCAATTTACTAAATCTTTTCAATGGATTTCCAGTCATCCTATTCTAAATATTGATTGAAAGGACAAGCACAAGGGATTGTTTAGCATGCATTTAGATTCAAAACTCGTGCTAAATTTTTACTCACTCTACACAATTATTCGAATTTTAAAGTGCTTAAATGTTCAGTAAAATGAAAGCGGTTTAAGGTTTAGAGTTTTATTAACCAATAATTACAATTTGGTCCGACCAGATGGCTGGCGACATCTATCGGTCGGTGCCATTAATAATAAGTAAATAATTTTTACATGGTTACTTTTTTTTTTATTCTAACGATTTCAATATAATACAATTATAACATAGTATAATAATACTATATAGTTTAATGACATAAAAAATTATAACATAATGCTAAAGTAATATAATATATATTAATTACTACATGGCAATTTATGAGGTCTTTAAGATTATATAATATAAAATAAAAATGATAATTAGGGTTATGTAAGTAGCTTCTATTTTGTCTATTTTAAGATGTAATTACATTTTTCTAAATATTTAACTGTTTTATTAAATTATCCTTTTAATCTATTGACTACTAGGCTCGTGCGAAAAATTCACAATTTACCAAATTAATAAAAAAAGAAAATCAATTGTCATTTTATCCAGAAATATAATCGACAAAGGAAATAAAAATTAATTTATAACTTCGTTAATGTTTGGAACCAATATGTTTTCAAATTTCAATAAGCTGTATTAGTAATTTCAGTAATCTTTTATATAATCATGGACATAACCATAGGGAAAAGTGTGTAATGTTTTATTTATTCTCAAATAACTTTTGTTTTCTTTCATAACTTTTTTACCTGAATTTTCGGGGTGATTGCACTATTTTGCCCACCTGAAGGAGAAGGAAGCCTTAAAAATTAGTGGCTCAATCTTGGGATTTGGTGAAAAATTAACGATGATGTGGCTTGCCGACAAAAAAACACCTTCGATAAATAATATAAACTTCTCTTCTCTCGATCATAGGAGCCGCGATGAAATGAGACATGTATTAAATGGCAGCACTACAATTAGCGTAAGATTGTGTGGATGCGAACCCTTTACCTTGCGTTATCTCGAAAATAGTACGTTTTGGGGCTACAAACGCAGAGCCGTACGCATCAAAATCTTCAAAGCTCGATTTGTCTCGTATCGATCTACAGACTTACCACCGTTCCAGTATAGAAGTCTGGAAAAAGGTTTGTATCGCTTTATTTATTTTAGAAAGAAAAACAAAAGCGGAGAATACGGTATGCTTAATCCCCGTGAAATTTTGAATCCAACGGTACCCCATTCATGGTATTTGAGCATGGCAGGAACTTATATTTGGTGCAAAAACGATTTCGAGCCTTGCTGTAGTAATATATGTAGGGATGTGGGAATGGGGATAATGTATTCGGTAAAAGGAACAAACTAATAGTGTATCATCGGTAAAAAGGGCTATATTGACATATTTTACGTTTAGGAAGTCATTCATAAATAAACTTATTAATATTGGACTTTGGCACGATCCTGGAAGAAGACCAGCAATAGTATTATAAGTGGGGATGAAATATTATTGACTGAAACGAAGAAAGATCTATCACACACTAATAACATTATCGGTAAAATGAGATATTTTCATATATTAAGGTTTATTAATTTAAAAATCAGTAAATTTGGAGTTACAGTGTCTAATGATTTTTCAATGCCGCCGAGGATCCTGCCAGTGTGTTTTTTTATTAAAATTTCTTGTAATATTGATTTTATCTAGTTGGTTAGTGACTAAGTGATAATGTCGAAATCCGTACTGTTCGTTTATTAATATTTTTTTTTACTATAACATGTTGAATGAGGTTGTGCTTTATTATCTTATGTAATAGTTTTCTAAAATTGCGAATAAAAAATCTAAATTTTTTGTAATATAATGTTAACTAATAATATTATGACGGGAATCTATAATTTATACTATTTATTATAATAGTTCATTGTAAAACCTTTTCATTTTAAAACCAGCAGAAGTGAAGGAAAACCTCAAACGGCGAAGTTTTCCCTCCAGACGAATGCTAGGAAAGCGATTGCTAAGAAGTGTAGGATAAACTTGGGCCAGCAAACAGCTCTTCAATACCCTCTACTGAAGAAGGCCACGAATATGAAGGTTCGATCTCCCTCTCTTAGAGCTTCTTCTCCACTCAGCATATTGTGCCAGGATTACTCCCTCGGTTACCCAAATCTTAGAAATACCATTTTATTTGTCTGACCTAAAAAAAAATATTGATATTGTAGTTCTCACTAAATTATATAGCTAATTAATCAAAAACTAAAGTTATTATATTTATTTTTAAACACTTAACGTCACTTTAATGTTTTGAATTCGTAACTTCAGCGTAAATGTTCAGGGTGGTTAAATCACATTAAACAAATAAATCAACCTCCTCATCATTATTCTGGCCTCTGACTTCGTTTTGCTAATTCAAAAGCTCCAAATAGAGCAGGAAGTACGATTTATGATGATTAAGATAACCAAACTATATTATCTCTATAATGGTAGGGTCGAGATTAAAGCGAATAAATTTCCACCATGAATATGTAACTACGTATTCCTGCATGTTTTTAAAATATTTTTCTCAAGGTCCTAACAGAACTCGTCCACCTTTGTTTACATTTTTGATATTATAAAGTTAATTCATATGCCTCAACATTTTACATGCTCATTTAAACTAACATTCAATTGTTTACCGAGCTAAACATAGCACCGATACCGCAAAGATTTTTTTTTATATATTCAACTTTCGTTCAAACAGAATAAGAATGTGATACGAGGAGTAAACACCTGATATAACTGCATATTTTTAATTAATAAACGATTGTGTTATATGATAGAAATTCCATTGTTTTTTACCCATATAACATATTAATTCTTCTTTTTTTTTTTTTTAATGAAAATATTTTCATGAATAATAAAAAAAATATTAAAATTACATCATTTCATATATTTTGATGATATAATTAATTTTTTGGGATAATGGACCACAATAAAGGACGTTGTAATAAAAATGAATTTTATTAAATTCCACTTTCGTACTTAAAGATCTAAAAGTCTCCGCTTTTTCCCTTCCGGACAAAGTAAAATGAACATAAAAATATCTACGGAATTTGATAAAGGAATTCAAAGGAAGATATTCTTCTATAAAGTGGAGTTTAAAAGGTCAGTTCGCCTCTTTAGGTAGAGCCCGTGTAGAAAATTAAATTTTAAATCGTCAAGAGAATATTTTTTTAAGAGAGAGGGTTTTATTAAGCCAATAAAAACGAAAAATCAATCGTATTAGGTGATTCGATTATGATCCATTGGATACCATATTTTTTTTTTACCGTAAAACGTTCGACCATAAAAATTTATGTCTACGTATGTAATATTTTATTTTAAAAATTTATTAATCAAATACAGAAATTGCCCATATCCCTCAGTAATTTAGTGATATTTATAGTAGTTTTCCAACTAACAAACTTTATAAGGTTTCTACAACCAATAACTTCCCTTAAGTTATTTTCTTTTCTTTTTTCATTATCCTTAATCTTGCAACTCCTACTAATAATTTCGGTTATCATATTTTCCATATTACTCTTTTCTTTTTCTTTTTTTTACATTTGCTTGGACTCTTTGGCCCCCTAAGTCATTATGGCTCTAACAGTAAGTCTCTTAGCTAATCATTAATTTGTCAGAGCAAATTATAGGTGCAAAATTTCGGTTTGCTGATGATAAAAGAATATTTTTTCTTTTTTCTTTATTTATTAGATAAAGGGTAATAAATATTAAGGCTAAAATATTCATTCATATAATATATACCAAAATAGAGAAATGACTGTAAATAAAAAAAATAAAATAATTAAAAATAGAAAAATATATACGTATAAATAAAATAAATCTTCTTAAACTGTGTAAAATAAGAAATACATCTTAG